CAGAGAAGTGTGTGTTACTGTACTGGCCGTCAATTCACCAAGAGCTGAGAAAGACAATAGCAGGTTGCCTGGCAGGGATTTTTGTATGGCTTATAAACACAGGGGTAGCATGCCTTAGGGAGAAAAAGAGAAAATGATTGCCTAGCTTCTTTCTCCTCTTGTCTCCTACTGGTCTACTCCAAAGGAGTTAACTCCCTTGCACTTTTAGGCTGTATCATCTAGTTCCTTACATTGCCAATTGGAATGCTTGATTCCATGTCCCACAGTGTGGTGTTTCATCCTAGTCCAGATGTGGCAGGAGCCTGAGGGCCTGGCATCCCCAGGCAAGTGACTAATTGGCCTCCAGTACCAGTGCCTTTGGAAGGAAGGGGGTAGTCACGGGACTCCAAGGAGGTACATGAGGTTTGTATCCAATACAATCCTGAAGGACAGACAGGATTCTGAGAGGCAGAGATGAAAGAGGAAGGCGTTTTAAAATGAGCAGTGACATAAAGGAAGAAACATGTGTGCTGCATTTAAGATAAAGCAAGTGCCTTGTTGGCTTCAACAGAGATGTGACCATTTCTTAGCCCATATTTTCTTGGCTTGTGGTTATTCTTGAGTTTTTTCCCCTTTTAAAAGGTACTTCAAATATATAACTAAATGTTTATTCCTTCATTAGTTTTTTTTGTATGAATAAATAGGTGGAAGAGGAGGCTGGAAATGGAAGACTCCAGATGTGAAGCCGTCCTTGATTCAGTCAACAGTAGGGGTCACGGAGGGTCTTGAGCAGGGAGTGGAGAGTACAAGAGTGAGGGGGGAAGGATGATGGGGTTTAAACCACTCCCTATAGTTCATCATTCATTTCTGCTTGATAGCCTCACACAACTTGCCTTTTGCTATATTGGTGGTAGCAATAACAATAGAAGTATGAGCAGTAACAGTAACAACCACCACAACCCTGGCTCATCCCATAGCTTCATTCACATCTCTTTCCAATGTCACTTTCTCCAAGGCCTTCCTGACCACCTGATCTCAACTATAAACTGGCATCTCCCTACTCTGGTTAGTCTCTAGCTTCTTGCTCTGCTTTATTGTTTTAATAGCATTAAGTTAGCAGACATCATATTATATATATATTCATTTAGTTGTTTTCTGCCTGTTTGCCTTACCAGAAAACTTCATAAACTCAGAGACTCTGTCTTCACCAGTCACTGCAGCACTGTTCTAAGCACCTGAGGGGGTTCTAATGTAACTTCATTGAATCGTATGTGTGCTGTGTGTGAACTGTATGATGCTGATTCTTTGTAATCTGTTGATGCTTGCTTTATTGATTAGTTCATTGTCAGTTTTTGAAAATATTCCATGTGTGCCTGAAACAAGCATTTTTAAGTTTTTTATGAAATATTCAGTTTATGTGTATTAGCTCAAGCCAATTGTGTTTTTCAAATCTATAATTATTTTACTAAAATCTATATCCTTATTAATTTTTTTGCCTACTGAATCTATTAATTACTGAGGGATATATGTGTTTTTTTGAATTTTTTTATTATGTTATGTTAATCACCATAGATACTGAGGGAAATATGTTAAACTTCCCACTATGATTGTGGATTTGTCAATTTCCCCTTAAATTTTTATTAATTTTTCATAATGTATTTAAGCTTGTGTCATAAGTTGCAGACAAGTACAGAATTTAAAAATTTTCCCAATAGGGGCACCTGGATGGCTCAGTTGCTTAAGCATCCAGCTCTTGATTTTGCTCAAGTCATGATCTCAGGGTCATGAGATTGAGCCCCACGTCAGGCTCTGCGCTGAGGGTGGACCTGCTTAAGATTCTCTCTCTCCCTCTTCCCCTCCCCCTTGCTCTCTTTCTCTCTCTAAAATAATAAATAAATAAAATTTTTCTCAATAAATTATTGGATTTTTTTTTATTATGTAGTGATACTCTTTTTTTTTGAGGGGGGGGAGAGAGAGAGAGAGAGAGAGAGAGAAAGACAGTGCCCCTGCCTGTGGTGGGGGTGGTGTTGGCCAGGGGCGTAGGCGGAGGGAGAGGGAGAGAAAGAATCTTAAGCAGCCTCCATGCCCAGTGCGGAGCCCCAGCCTGGCTTGATCTCAACAACCCTGAGATCATGACCTGAGCCGAAATCAAGAGTCAGTCACTTAACCAACTGCGCCACCCAGGTGCCCCTGTAGCGATACTCTTTATCCTTAATTTACCTAATACTGCTTTTTACCAGCTTTCTTTTGCCTAGAATATCTCTTCAACCCTCTTGCTTTCAACCTATGTCCTTACATTTTTTTTTTAAAAAGTGTGTTCTTGGGGCGCCTGGGTGGCTCAGTGGTTAAGCGTCTGCCTTTGGCTCAGGTCATGGTCCCAGGGTCCTGGGATCGAGCCCTGCGTCGGGCTCCCTGCTCGGCGGGAAGCTTGCTTCTCCCTCTCCCACTCCGCCTGCTTGTGTTCCTTCTCTCACTCTGTCTCTCTCTGTAAAATAAATAAATAAAATCTTTAAAAAAAAAAAAAGTGTGTTCTTTATAATAGTGCTTTTAAAAAAAGCTTAGTCCTGTTTCTTTGTGTTTTAATTCATGATTTTAGTCCATTGTGATTAACAATGTATGGAATGTTTCTACCATTGTATTTTGTTACACACCTTTTTCTCCTTTCCCTGCTTTCTTTTTCTGGTTTTTGAGTGAATGGTGGACAATATATATGAAATAGTGGAGAGATGTTGGGTGATACTATCTTCTGGAGAGGATCTAATTTTTTTCTGGGTGGTACTTATAGTAAGGGCAGATCACCTTGAACTAATGGGGGACTGAGTTGGTTTAAGGCTGGTTTCAGACTTTGTGAAGGCTGGTCTAGTTCC